ATGTTCTTAAATGTTCATCTCGATTTTCAACATACGGAGTCTAGATCAATGCTATATGATGATCATGCTCATGGTATATTAAAGATTATAAAAAGATTAAACACAAGTCCACTATCCATCAGGATTTCAGTTCTACCATAAGCAAATGCATAAGTGTGAAATTATTTAAGTAATGGCTAAACTTAAATTTGATTCTCACATGATTCTAGTTTATGTTATAATGTCATTACTCAAAGTCAACCATTTCGATGATTTGAGACTTGTCATTCCCTTAAAATGAATCACATTTGTTTTGTTAGAAATAATCTGGACACTACAACCTTAACACAATAAAATAGCCAACTTTATTATATGATTGTGAATAATTTTTAGACTCAATTAAAATACATGTTTCCTATGTATGACTATTCATACAAATGTATTGTAATATCGTAATAGAATCATGGTACTTTAAAATGTACTTTCATTACAAATAAATTAAATCAAATTAAACATGAGAATATATTTGATTTCCAAGGCACCATATTCTCAAAATTCCTAACACAGCTAACAACTATAAAGAAAACATTTCTTGGGAGGCAACCCAAGTTTTTCAACCTAGTTTACTTAAGTATTCATTTTATTTACCACTTTTTTCTTATCATTTATGTTTCTTTTTTATTCTAATTGTTCTATGTTTGATTTTGCAGGTTTTAGGAATACAGTAAAGTAAGGTGATATTATTCAAAAAAAAAAAAAAAGAGCTATGACCCTCACATTGAGAGCCGTGGCCCTAAAAGTAAGTAATAACCATCCCACAAATAGAATGGTTAAGTGTCGCGGCCTTTATTACTCAGAGTCATGGCACTAGTATATGAGGAAAAAGATATAAAACGGAAAGGTTGAGCTTCATGGCCATCACATTAAGAGCCACGACGCTAGAATGAGGATTTCAATTAGCCCAAAACAAAGAGCTTGAGCACTGCGATGCTCAATCTTCAACATCACGACGTTGAAACGTGAAGCGTATTGTTTCAAGTGCAAACAAGTTAGAGTTGCAACTCTTAAAATAAGAGCCATGACGTTGGGTCAGGGCCTAGACCAACCCTATTTAAAAACCTATTTTGTTTTCATTCTTTTCATCTCCTTCGCCAACCACCTAACTCGAAAAAGCTCTTCTCGTTCTTCCCCCTTGAAAATTCTTGCATCCATATTCCTCACCTACTTGGGCTTTTAAAATCTAAAGTTTTTCAATTTATTCCATTCACAAAAAAAAAAAATTCACCATTCTTCCCTTTTTCCACATTTCCAATAAAGTGTTCTTCAACAATTTTCATTAGTTTTGAGATTTTGTTTTGATAGTATTGCCATTGTGACATTGCATAGATTTTGCATAATGAAAGGGTAACTTGAATGTGGTTGATGATGGTATGAATATTTTCTTCTTAACCATGCTTTGAGTTAGGCAATTTTTTTTGTTAATTGTTGATGATTATAGGGAAATTCTTACTAATTATGGGTTGGGTTCATAAAATCTTTATGTGCTTGTTAATGCATTTGTTGAAAGTCTGGTTGCTTAAGGTGTGAGTTGATAGAAATTTGCATGGTGGATGATGGGCATATAGTAGTAGTTGTAATTTTGGTTTTAGAAACAACTAGACTATGAGATTAACACTTGGTGATTGTGGAAATAATCTATATTGAAATAATTTGGTTTGGTTTCTTTTACACACTTATTATATTTTGTGCTAAAATTTTTAGATTTTAAAAATAATTGAACTCTTGTTATTTTGATTGGCTTTTATCTTGGTTGGGTTTTATTTGAATATTTGTAGTAATGGCAACTAAGTGTTCAAAACCAAGTTCAAGTGGGTCATTCGATTGAACAAAGTTTGTCTCAACTGATGCTTCAACAAGATATTATACTTTAATTATCAACAAAGTGTCCATTCCTGAACGAGGGTTAAATATTCCTCTAATCCATTATAAAGAGATATATCGAATGATCGGAGAATGGCATTAGCAGTGATTTTGTGACCAATCTAAAGCTACAGTTGTGCCAGTGGTAAGAGAGTTTTATGCAAATGAATTTGAGCATGTTTATGGCATTGCTTATATACATGGCAAGCAGTTACCATTCCACAATCAGGCCATCAATGAATTTTTTGGAACTCTAAACCTTGAGAATGATGAATACAAGTAATATTTAGGGAATCATCAAGATGAACAATGTATCGATATATTCTTGGCAAGATGAATAAAATACAATGCATTCAAGGTATATTCGATCGATACATTCTTGAATGTATCCATAGATTTGAAGCGAAAGCACTCAAAGGGAAAAATATCGATAAATTTTCACATGTATCAATGCATTTAGAGTAGTATGCATTCTACCTAAAATCCATCGATACATTGCTCAATGTATCGATAGATGTAGTTGAAATTGTACAAATGTATCGATACATTCCCAAATGTATCGATACATTACTGGGGAAAGGCGTGAAGCTATTTGCCCATTTTAAAACAAACCCTAAACTTTCCTTTTCTCTACCACTTCGAAAACCCTAAGCCCTAAATAGATTTTTGGAGCCATTTGGAGTAGATTGGAGCTTGAGAAACACCTTTAAAGATAAGATTAAACGTTTATCAAATACTTTTCAATTTAATCAGTTAATAACCAAGAAATATAATTTTTCAGCTTTGGTGAATCCTACTCAATTTGTTGAAATTTGGGAGTTTAGATTTGTGCAATGCATTTTCTAAGGTATGGGTTTAGCTCATTGGTGAAGAATTTGAGCTTGTGTAATGAATTGTTAAGAATTTAGTTATTTTTGGACAAGTTGGATACTTTCAAAAGTTAGGAAATAATTAGTTTTGTGTTGTCTTGATGTGTTTAAGGAGAGATTGAGCAATTTGGGTGTAGTTATGAGCTAAAAGACAATTGGAGATTAAGGATCGAAACTTGGTTGTGGGAGTGCCTCAATTGCCATTGTGAGTATTTATTTTCAAAACATCGTTTATGTTAATATTTAAAAAATTATTTTTTAATTAATATTTATTTAATTATTTGAAATTATAATTTTTGAGTAACCATTTTTAATAACTAATTTAAGGGATAGAAACAACTTTAAAATAATTTTTACAAATAAATAAATAATTTTTTTTATTTTACAGTAAATGATAATTTTTTTTTGAATTGGGAAAAGGAGATTCGAACTTTGTCCTTTAAGTAAGGAGATTAATCTTTACTTTATATTATAAGTTAAAATAAAAATAAAATCAATAGTTAGTATTTAACCTAATAAAATACTCTTGTCCTGTTATCCTTTTTGTTTTTGGGTGAAGAGAAAACTAAAAATTATTTCACAAATACAAAAATGACGTTCATTTTTAGTTCACAGTAAGGCAGATTCAAGAATTTTTTTGAGTGGTGTTATAATTAAAATAATTATAATAATTAAAAAAATATAAATATATTAAAATTCATAGACTAGAAATTTTAAGATTAAATTAAGGAAAATGTAAATTTAGTGCATTCATTTAACATTTTAAAGTAAAAATATCTAAGATAATTATAATTGTTCACAACTATCTTTCATATTTTGAAAATAATGCATGATAGCATCAATAGAAACACTATCAAATATATCTTTTTTAATATTTGTCACTAAGTAATTATTCATCCAAAATTACTACTCATTAGCATGAACTAAGATATTAGAATTAAGTAAAATATGATCTTATATAACAAATTATTAAATTCAACAACTAACAATAGGGCAATTTTGTATTTATTAAACAAAACTACATATAAACATTTACCAATCATATTAAGTTAAATACAAAAATTAAATAATCAAATAATATATCTACAAAATAAATAAAAATTAAATAATTAAATAATAATTATTTGATATGTAATACTATTTTCTATTAGCTAGATTATAATTATGAACTAAATTTATTAAATTAATAAAAAAATATTTTTATATGAAATATTTAAAAACTTAATTTAAATTAAAAATTACTTATAATTGAAGTTTAAATAAATTATTTTGAGAAAGTAAAAAACATACTTAATGACCGAAAAGAGAAGGGAAAAGATTTAAAATTTTAAATGGAAAAAGTAATTTAAGTTTTGATTTTTTTAATAAAATTTTAAATTATAATTTTTTTTATGTAATATTTAAATATTAATATATAAGACTAAAAAGTATTTGGAAGTGAGTGGTCTCTTCAACGGGGGTCCGCCTATGGTACTCAGCCAAGAACCAGTCAGTCACGAACTGAGCTGCTTCTCCCCACACTATCTAAAGGTTTCGTGGCTCAAGAATCAAATAAAAGTTAAAATTGCAAATCAGTTTGGAAATGAGATTCATCACCCCATAAATTGAGTCATATATTATTATAGTATTAGTATTTGTGAAAATGGCTCTTCACCTAACTTCCCTTTCTCCCTTCACCGCCACCACCAGCCTCTCTTTCTCTTCCACAGTAAGACACTTCCAACTTTAATTACGAATTTCATTTCCCTTTTAAAATTATTTTCTCTGAATTACACCTTTTTTTTTATTTGTTGAAACTTTGAAGAATATGAGCTGGCCACGGCGCACAAAAGCGATACGGCTGGTGGCGTGTAGCAATGCCGCGGTGTCTAGATACGGCCGAGGTCTTGTTTCTCGTTTTCTGTCATCATCCACTTTTTTATATATTTTTTTCGTAAGAAGCTGCTGTGGAATTTGTTTCGAATTTTGGTTTTTCAGTTGCTTATGAATATGATCCGGAGCTTCGCATAGTGCTTGAACTAGCCACGGACGCCGAGTTATATGAGCTTCAAAGAATCCTTTTTGGTCCTAGGTTTGTCAATTTTTCTTAATTTCCGTTGGCCAGAATCTCTCAGGTTTTCTTTGGTGTGTGTGTGTGTGTGTTTTTTTTTTTTTTTTCTCAATTCTTATTATAACTTTTGAATTTTGTTACAAAATTCAGCTACTTTAGTCCCTTGTTAAAGTCTGTAATGAATAGAGATGATGTGGAGAATGTGATGATTGAAGAAGATGTTGAGGAGCGAGAAGCTTTTATCGCAGCTCTTGAATCGCGTTTCTTATTCCTTGCAGCAGATGCCCGCTCAACGTTAAGGTTAGTGCCGTGGATGGCTTCAATAATTATTTTGTTGGATGCCTGATTGCATTGTTCGTGAGCTAAGCTTTGCTGGAAAATAAATTAATATATGATTGTTCTTGGTGGTAGAAAGTAACAATAAAATTTTTATCTCTTTTGGTATCTGCTGAGTTTCTGTTTTGATAGGTATCTCACCGATCTCATTTGATCTTCTCGTTAGGGGTTGGAGGCCTTCGTATAAAAACATCCTGCTCTCTGTGAGGAAAAAATTGAATATTCCTTGCTCAAGTAAATTGTCCACTGAAGACCTTGAAGCCGAAATTTTCCTTCATCTTTTGAGGGATTACTCAAGGTAACCTCATTCAATCTTAATCTTTAGCAAACGTTATCATCATAAAGTTCTTAGTGACTGCAAAAGCTTGTGATAGGAATCCAGTGAGCAAATTGATTGCTAGCCTAAGTTGGGAAAAAGATGTTGTTGGTCTGTTTAGTTTTGGAAATGCTTTTCATATTATATCTCCACTATTACAAAAAATATGATGAATAGGTATGGTAAATAACTAAGTTTGGAAACCCTTGTTTTTCTAAATTTCTAAAACACTGGACAACTTTTTTAAATTGTTTTTCAATTTCCATAAAATTACAAAACAAGAGTTCTGGAATTTAGTTATCTACTCCTTTTCTTTAATGGTCAGATTTAGAATAAAAGTGGAGATAGAAAATGGAAACCATTTTCCGAAACTAAACAAACCCTATAATTTTCTTAAAAGTGTAGCCTAAATAATGTCCATTTGGGGGAGATGGATAAATTTTAGTTGGTTATCTTGTGTAAGCTGGTTCTTGCTAGACTTGATTGGTGAAAGTAATTTCTTCAACTTTTCCTATATTCTTGCTGTTACAAGCTTGTAGAGAAACTTAGGAAACTGAGAAGTTGGATATGCTTGCATTGGATCGAAAGTTATGGGATAACAAGCTTATTTATTTAATTTTAAAATGAATGCACTGCCAATTGTCTTTTTTTTGTAATATATAATACCGAGTAATATCAACTAAAGTGTTCGTACACTAGGTAGTATGCTTTGTTATATAATTTCCCATCTCTCACTCCTTTTTTTTTTTCCTGAGTGGAAAATATCCCATCCTGGGGATTGACACTGGAGATTGACACAATAGTTTGTTAATAGGCAGTATTTGCACTGAGTGATTGAATTGGACATAACACTCTTCTACTGCATTTTTTTTGAAAAGAAAAAGTTTATTGTTTCATTGCATTGAGTACTTAATACATATATCAAAGGAATATAGTGAAGGTTTTTAACTTAGACCAATCTCAATCTTTATTCTTGTTATCCTGTACGATCAAGTTTTATGCTATGATTTAAGGAAAGATTATAACCCAAGTTTGTTTCCATTCCTTGTATTGGGCCAATTAGCATTTTTTAGATAGTGGCGTGGGTTATTTTGATTTTTAAAATGTTGCATCATGATTGTAAATTACTTCTACCTTATACAGTGTCAGCCATTATTATTGTCACTCATGTTATCAAATAAATTTGTAGAATCGCAGCTGAAAATTTGAATCAATGTGGTGCTTATATGTTGATCCTTTTTGTTCTCATCTAGTGTTAGAGTTGTGTGCTTATGAATTAACCTTTTTACTTCTTGCTGATCTAAATTTCTAATGTATCAAATGATAATAATTTGTTTAAGATGAAGGAAGAAAACAAAAAAGAAATAAGTTCTACATATGTACAGTGGTGACTTGTAGTTTGTACTTCCATGTTTAGTGATGAATCAGGAACTTTTCCGGGCTTATGGGAAAATAATAATATTTCCGACATACAAAATAGTCTAGAACTGGGACTTAGCCAGTGGAAGGTGCAGGTCATTGCTGCTGCTAAAGTTGGGGCAGCTGGGTTTCAATCAATGATTTTGAAGGTATTCATACTTTTCAAGTCTATTTTAATATCTGGTTGATTATTTTCATTCTTAATATTAATTGATATGTAGTTGTTTCCTTTTCTTTGTTTAAGGTGGTGGTATGCTTACTTTGGCAAAAATTTATCAATTGGTAAGATATTGGTTTTTATTAGTTTGTTTTATTTTGCTCTGTTGGTTATTTTATTGAGCTTTGTTTATTGCTTGTGGTAGTTGACGAAGAAATTGTCTGGAAAGCTGTTTCTGGAAGCGGCCAACTATTTGATGAAAAAGGAAGCTCTTAAAAAGGTACAAACTTAGTGTCATAGTTTGCTAGTTGTTGAAGGAACTGAACTATGAATGAATTGGGAGAGTCTGCATTTTATTTAATGCTAGTATAGGACATACTTTCTGTTTAAAAAGGTGGCTCTTACCTTATTAACAACTAGAGGTGTCAATTAAGCAAGTTATAATTTGCTAGTTGTTGAAGGACCTGAACTATGAATGAATTGGGACAATCTGTATTTTGTTTAATGCTAGGATACGGCATATTTTCTGTTCAAAAAGGTACCTCTCACCTTTTTTAAGAACTATAGGTGTCATTTAAGCAAGTTGTAATGAATTTGCGTTGGATTGTTTTAGATTCAGATTTAGACTTTATAGGTCATTTTGGGTTTTGAGTTGATTAGGTTCAAGTTATATCAGGTTTTTAGTCATTAATCTTTGACCAATTTGATTGGTTCAGGTTGGGTCTTGAGTGAATCTTTTGATTTGGCTTAGTGTTCAAATTTAATTTATTAGCAAATATCAATCAAGTTCGAGTCAGAATCTTTGAGGGATATAGGTTGCAGTCCTTTTTATGTTCTAGGCCAACAGGTTCATGTTACATAAGCTTCAGCTCACCTATGTTAGCTATTTGCCATGTTTGTCAGTGACCTCATTCCAAGTAAGATGGAATATTCATTCATGATGCATCTGTAAATTTATTAGTATTTCCTCTCTTGAATCCGTTGCATGTGGGTAATAAGTCTGTTGACCAAACAGGTAGCACATGTCCATAAATTATGTTGACTGGAAAGACTTAAACCTATTGAATTATAATTCTTTTTATGTTGGCAAATTTTCTTGCAATTAGTTGGTTTTATTTATTTATTTAATTCCTAGGGGCAATTTGCTTGTTGATTTGGGTAGAAATACCTTAACCTGTTAGACTACAAATTGATTTGATTTTCGGGATGTGAATGAAGAATGCGACTGACTTTGATGTTTGAAACACCCTTTTGTTTCTGTTTTGGTTAAAAAGGTAAAACCCATTTTAGGCTGTCTGGATTGAGGAGTATGGAGAGAAATGGAAGGGAGGGGAGGGTGAGCCGAGAGCATTGCCCTTTCCATTTTTTGTCTACCATCTTAATGGAACGGAAGGGATTAGGAGGGATGCATGTATGTGTTCAAAAACTCTCTGAAGCCGCCTTTTTAAAACCACCAAAATTGGGAACTTGAAGGGAAAGAATCTTTCCTTAAAATTTCTAGTTCTAGAGACAACATTGTCCTTAATTTAACATTGATTTAAAATATAAGGATACAATTGTAAAAGAACATGGTAGGTTATCATTTTCTTTTTTGTCCATTTCTTAACCAAACTGGGCCTGTAGAATAACTTCTAATTTCTATCACCTCTCTTCTAGGGAACTTATCTCTGCCACAGCCCCCCACCCACCCTCTTTCTCCTCTCCCTTCCTTTTGTGGCATCTGTGGCACATATATCTTCTGTGATTCTTCTCCTTCCCAAAGAGGCAAAGATAATATTTCATTGCATTTGGATTAGTCTTGAATGTGAGATCGCTATCATATTTCTACTTGCCTATGTATTCCTCAGGTTGTGCTACTTTCTTGATTATGGTGTAAATGTATGGTTTTTTAAAGATAAAAATGATGTAATGTAAATTACAGATTTAAGTTTGTGTTTTGCTATCATTTTGTTTAATTTTTTTGCTATCCTATATTGAACTGTAATGCTCTATCTATTTCTTTTAATATCATTGGAAAATTGTTTGAAGATACTATGATTTAAAACATACATCAACAACGAAACTTCTAAAATGCTTTTTCACATTCTTTATTTCAAGGGGGGACAGGTAGCTGCTATTAATCTAGAATCTAGAGCAGCCTTGCTTGCAGCTAAGCAGGTAATTTTATTATCATAATGAGTCAATTGGCTAAAAGATGATTTTTCATGTTGTCAACATACGTTATCATATGGTAAATAGTCTACAAATAGCAATGCATAAATGTGATTTAACAGTTGCAGCATCTAAATAGTGCATATTTCTTTTCATTTTCTTTGTTTTCCCTTCTCTCCAGTTTGTGTGTGTGTGCGAACAGAGAATACGTCATGTTAAAGCCTCTCTAGTATTTCTTTTGAAACAAGGTTTTCATGGTCTATGATAAAGGTTTAGAGTTTTAGTTGACTAACATAACATATTTATATAATCAAACTAAGTTGTCACCCTAGATACAACAGTTGTATTTTTATTCAATTAAGTTATTGTGAACTTAATTAATTTTTTCACTTCATTTAATTCTGTTTCAATTAAGTCTAACTTAATTAATTATTCTTATTTAATCCCAATTATGTTACTTAATGTGTGTGACCCATTAGGCTTCTAACATATTGGCAATAAATATAAATCTTAATCAAATATTAATTTGATAATTAATCTATATTTATAGATCACGAGCGGTATCTAGCAATACATTATGACCATTTAAATGTTAAACAGTCAATTAAAAAATTGACAAAATTCTTCAGTGATAAGCCTTTTAGTGCAATACAATCATTTAATCAAATATCCTAGATATGTCATAAAGTATGGCTTAGTGTCTACTTATGATATTTCATATTAGTTCTCATAATTCCTGACTAATTTTATGAATTTAGAAAATTAACTGTCCTCAAATTCATTATGATTTGGCCAAAGACTTTATTTAAGTTAATTAAGAATTGAGTACAAGTGATATATCACTTGGGGTGATAAATTCTGATTGCTCATTCATCTTATCATGTTTTATGGCATACCCAAAAACACCGTGTTAGCCATCTGGTCATCTCTAGACCCATAGGGTGAAACTAAAGTATGTCATTCTCCATATAAGATGACTTGGTGTTTCAAGTCCAAGGACTAGTTGCACGACTATCATATGTGAATATATTCCATAGACACTTGAGCGAAATACTAAATAGAATTCTCATAGCGGGTCATGTTTAGTGAGCCTGTTCTTTAAAAGCATTTACATGTTATTCATAAATATCCCATATACTTCAATCTATGAGATTGATTGTTCACTTCCCAAGTAAAGATACTTAACATGTACCAGTCTTTGAGCATTGTCAATGCTTTATCTTGACAATACAATGATCAAGAATAATTTTAGAAACTTGGCTTTGATGCATAGTGATCTCATAATTGTAACAACATTACAATGCTCTTACAAGACTTTTATGTTCCATGAGCTTCATCTAATTAGTATTTAATAATCCTTGATTATTGCATTAACATAAAGGGAAACCTCTATGGCATACCCAAAAACACCCTGTTAGGCATCTGGTCATCTCTAGACCCATAGGGTGAAACTAAAGTATGTTATTCTCCATATAAGACTTGGTGTTTCAAGTCCAAGGACTAGTTACACGACTATCATATGTGAATTTATTTCATAAACGCTTGAGTGAAACACTAAATAGAATTCTCATAGCGGGTCATGTTTAGTGAGCTTATTCTTTAAAAGCACTTACATGTTATTCATAAATATCCCATATACTTCAATCTATGAGATTGATTGTTCACTTCCCAAGTAAGGATACTTAACATGTACCAGTCTTTGAGCATTGTCAATGCCTTATCTTGACAATACAATGATCAAGAATAATTTTAGGAACTTGGCTTTGATGCATAGTGATCTCATAATTGTAACAACATTACAATGCTCTTACAAGACTTTTATGTTCCATGGGTTTCATCCAATTAGTATTTAATAACCTTTTATTATTGCATTAACATAAAGGGAAACCTCTATCATATATAGTTATGCAATTAAGTATGCATTAAATAACAATATATATTCCTTGACCTATCCAATTGGTTCAAGAGAATATACCCACAATTTCTTTTGAAACTAGGTTTTCATGGTATGTAATCTCGTTCGGTTTGATTGAAATTAATAAATAAAAAAGCAAGATAACTTCTGTCAATATATTTTCATGGGAAAAGCATTCTTTTATTATTGTGGTGCCAACATTTTTCTTATGAATAGTGGCAATAAACTAATATATATGAGCTATCTGTTTTATGCATGTTAAAACTATATGACCAGATTTTGTGCACCTGGTATTATTGTTCTAACATCAGTTATTTTTTCTCTCCTTCTTTGCCCCTTAAACCATGGGATAGGGCTTTGCAGGTGCTGCATCCAGATATGTGGGTTTGAGGAGTATGATGAGTTTACTTGGCCCACTGTATTGACTCTTTCTGATCCTGAATCCTTATCTATTGTCATTTTCATCTTTAGTTGTTATTTATTCATTTACTTTTTTCCTTGCATATCAAATTTTAGAAGTGCGTAAGTCTGCATAGAATTTTCTTTGATGCAATCCATCTTCTTAATGTTATATAAGACTAAGGCTTTTTGCTTGGTAGGGTGTAAAAGTGGAATGATGGAAGGTGTTGGGTGGGGTGGGAAAGTGGAAAGAAAATGATTTTCACTCGTGCTTGATAGGAGAAAAAGTGAGAGGAAAGAAAATACTAGGAGAGAGTAATGTTTTATGTCCTTGTTCACAAACAAATCATTCCAAATTGGAAAGATTAGAGGAGAGAAAATGGAAGAGATGTGAGTCAAGTGTACATATTTATAAGATTGTCCATCAGTTTTTAGATTTTACCATTTTATCTTAACTTACAAAGGGTATAATGGTAAAGTAGTATAATTTTCTGTTTTTTCCCTTTATTTTTCTACTCTATAAAATAATGGATGGAAAGAAAATTTTTTTTACATCCACTTTCGAAAGGAAATCTTCAGCCCCGAGTTTGCACCCTCTTTGGCCCGCAAACCAGATCTTGTTGTGTTGCCTGAATGGAAAGAAAAGAAGATCTTATTAACATTAACATCAAATTTCTGTTGAAGTTTAAACTTGTCAAGTTTGACTGCAAACTTCTCTTAAGTATAAAGATATCTCTGTCCTTTGAGCAAGAAAAAGACGTATTCAATCTCTTCCTTATCTATTTAATACTAATATTCCATATATATATAAATTAAAAATTTGAAAATGAACTAGTGAATTTTCAACTAAAGTTTGAGTTTGTTCTAAGTTACCTCATACAATACCCAAAAATAAATAATAAATAATAGAACTAGCACTTTCCTGCATTAGTTGCTTCAACTTGAAGTTTTCAATTTCTTGTCATCAAAAGTTAGAACCTTCACTCTCCTTTTCCACCCTTTCTCACCATCTATCTCTTTGCCCAAATGCATTGTCAATCATCATTGGTCCCTTTTGATTTCTACATCTTCCTTTTTTCTCCTAAACCTTCCTGATTTGCTTCCAATTTCACATGCTTTCATTGATCCGCTTTTCTTCAAAGACGTGAAATTTTGGATTTTCTCTGGCAATTTATTAGTTTTAATATCTCTCATTCATATTTATTCAGTTGTTGGTTACATTAGAATAAGGTCTACCAATTGTTAGATAAAACTTCACTGCATGTTTTTTACAATGCATGTGTTGATCGATGGAATCTGAAGGCTAGTGAAACTATATAGGAGCATAACCTTTTGAAGTGATATTGTCCAAACTTGATTTTATGCAGTACCTCATTAGCCAGAACCAGATGAATTATTGAGAGGAAGGATTGACTGAGAATAGATTACCTTCTGAAATATTGGAAAAAGGGTTGTTGTTAAGGAAAGTTTTTTCTGCTATGCATAAGGGAAGTTTGTTGTTAAACATTGAAAGTTTACTTTTCTTTAATTGTGCTATGTGCCAAGATTTCATTGAGGGGGCAAAGAGGCAAGGCATATTCTCATGGAAGAAGATTTTTGTTGTCCACTTTTCCATCTTTCCCACCAAGCGTACCAATGAAAAGAAAAATATGTTTTCCATCTTTCCACTTTTCTCCTCCAAGTTTCCATCTTTCCATTTTCAGATCCACCCTACCAAGCAAAGCCTAAATGTCTAAAATGTGCTTCATAGATGTGTGTTTTCTTCTCCTTTTTTCTATCAAATTGTGAGTGATGTACTATTGAAGTAGAAACATTAAAAATGAAAAATCAAACAGAGGCTAAAATCGATATAGAGTTGAAGCTGGAACAAGAAGACTAGGGCTAGGGTTGTAGAATCACTAATGAATAAATTTGAGCATATTATGGTTGCTTAATAAGTCTAGAAGACTAAATATTTATACTAGGCTTACAACAGTTTTAATCCCACTCCTTGGATACAAATAAACTCTGGCTAATCCAGGATGTTCAACATGTTTAAAGATCACCATGTTGTGCTTCAGAAAAATATGAGCCTTTCTCCTCCTGTTTCCTATCAAATTATGAGTAATGCAGTATGGATGTAGAAACAATGAAACAAAACAGAACAGAGGCTAAAATCAATGTAGAATTGAAGATGGAACAAGAATACTAGGGTTTAGGTTGTAGAGCTACTAATGAATAATATTCAAGTATATTGTGTGATGCAGTGCAGAAGTAGAAACAACTAAATGAAAACCAAAACAGTGAAAGAAAACCAGAACAAATGCTAACTTTAATCTATAATTGAAGTTGGAACATGATAACTAAGGTTTAGGGTTGTAGAACCACTAGCAGATAATATTGCAATATAATACGGCTGCCTAATGTGTCTAAAAGACTATTTATATTAGGGTTACGGCAACTTTCAATCTTAGCACTAATATATAAATAAGCCCCATCTAATCCTGGCCATTCAAACTAATTAAAAGATCACATGCTAGTAACATGACCAATTAAATAAATAAAAACATAATTACTCACTGTCAACTAGAGTAAACAACAAACATAAAGAAAAACAGATCAACATACTAAATTTTGGAATTCTCCTGCGTCAATCTCGTTTGGTTGATAAAAGGCTCTCCTCATTGGTGAGAACTTTGATAGCTTTAGCATAGATTTCTGGATCAGTCCTTTTGAGGTTATCTTCTGCGATCCTGGTACATATACTAGCTGCTTTACTCAACTTCTCCATAACACAGTTGAAACAAGGATCACATGAATACTGACATTTTTTGATTCTCTAAACCAGTAACTTGATTGCTCATTACTATTTCCACTGGCCTCCCATCTCTACATAGAAGAACTCCAATTCCAGCCTCTGATGCATCACACTCTACAAAAGTTAACTTCCCAAATTTTAGTAGTGCAAGGACCGGTGCCTCTGTTATCGAAAGCTTAATGTGTTTAATAGCTCTTTGTGCAGAATTTGGCCACTCAAAGCTGTCCCTTTTCAAGCATTCAGTGATACAGTTCATAATGAAACCGAAATTCCTTATGCACATAGAACGACCATAAGAACTTCGAATTTCTTTGATTGATTTGGGTGTTGTACGGTAAAACTTTGGCAAACACTTTTTTCTGACCTGCTTTCAATCCATTTGCCAAGACAATAAAGCCAAAAACACAATATCATAATACAAGAAAGAGCACTTACTCAGAATTCACATGAATGGAGTTAGACCATCAGAAAGGCCAAATAGCATCACTATTCATAGCGCCCTCTGGTGTCTTGTGTGCTATTTTTCCCTCCTGTACCAAACCTTAGTGAGCAACACCTCAACTTGTTTTTGCATCTCAGCTCACTGCAATGGAAGCATTCCTGAGAACCCAATCAGTTGAGTGGTAAAACATATGGCAATTAGTTATTAACCAGCTACTTAAACTCTTCTAGCAACCATGAACTCCAAGAGGATGCTTTGGTAATTCACCCTTCAAGTCATCTTGAACAAACTTGCTAACCAAAGCATCAATGACTCCACTTTCTATACCTCAACTTCTAATATCTTGATAAAAATCCATTTACCTTGCTGCCCAAAGATGAACCACCAGCTTCTGTTGTACTTTCCTCTTTTAGGGTGCAAAGCATACTTCTTCTTACCTCTATAACATGATAAAGTATTATGCTTAGTGAGATGTTCCATGTCATGATCAAATAGCGAAGGTCTACCCAACAGAATATGGGCTGCATCCATGTGTACAACATTAGACAAAGCTTCATCATCTAGATTACTACTTGAAGAAAATTTGGCCAGACACCGAGATGTTACCTGTATATCATTCCCCTTCTTAAGCCGCCCCAATTTATATGGATGAGGATGCTTCTCAACAAACAGCTTCAAATTCTCACTGCCTTCTTTGACATAACGTTCCCCATGTTCCCACTATCAATAATCAGATCATATATTTTGTTGCAGCAAACAATGTGCCTTCTAAAAAAGCTGCTTCAAGTCCAATCTTCTCCTTCTTCTACAACTGCCTTTGTTGTCATCACTTTTTGAACTACCAATGACTCTCCCTGAACTTGATAAACATCAATTGCCTCATTGTCTTCATCAGAATCATCATGAAGTGGTTGTACCATTTCTAAGGGTCTGGTAGCACCATGTGGTGGTGCAGTTGGAGGGGCTCCCTGCTGTGCTGCACCCTATTTTTTCACTGGATCCATAAGGATGTGAAAATGTGATTTAATGCAAAACACCCATGACGAGAGATGAAGAGGGGGACTGAAGAGGATTAATTGGAACTATAGATAGGGACGTGTTTTTTTGTTAGCTTATTGAAAATGGGGTCTTGAATAGTGCTAAGTCGCAAAATGTGATCCATATACTTAACTGGCATATTGGGAAAAGGCTTGTTTTCTTGTTTTTGTTATTGTTGTTGTCATTGAGATAGGCAGTTGATGCAAATATGGTCATCTTGACTGTTCTGGTGATCATCAACTCAGTAAGTCTGGTTACACCTTTCCTATAGATTTGAATGATCAATTTGTCTCAAATTATAACAAGCTGTCTTCAGCGTAGTAATTTACTTTTGAAATTTCGCTGTCTGTATTGCTGTCACTGATATTACTCTATGGCTTTCTCTGCTTGAAAATCTGCCATATATATAATATTATCCAATACAGGTTGTGGGGAACATTTTTGGCTGATGTTGTCATTCAGATGCTAGGAACTGATTATGCCAGAATCTTGCGAGCTATCTATGCATTTGCACAGGTAATTGATATCACTTCATTTTATAAAAGCTTAAGCATTGTACTATTCCCTTTTCAAATTGATTTGTTATCATTTAAATCTTCCATCAATATCTCTGATTTGAAGTAAGTAGAAGTTTGCCATTTTTTTTAATAAATCACAAAAGGTAATGATATTTATGATAAGTGAAATTTAAGCTAACATGGAAATCCATAAATATATTATATATATTGTTTTAGGAATACCCCAAGTAGAGAAAGAAATTCTTACAACCAAATTGTTGGTGTATAAAAATTGTGTTGAGGCAGGGATCATATGGAAACTACATATAAGCTGCTCTAATTGTTATAGTTAAATATCTTCTTGTGCATCTGGTCTGTCATCATAGCAGATTTGTTCAGTGCTGTCAGAAGAAATGGTGGAATGGAGTAAAGAAAAATAATATTCTTATTTTGTTACATTCAAACTTTTAGAATCCAAACTTTTCTCAACCTGTAAAAATAATTTGGTCAAAAGTTAACGGTTGGTGGACCATTTGTTATTGTTTTACAGTAATGGGATCATGATGTCATAAATATTTCAATATGAATCTGGCCTAGTTTGATGTCATAGTTGCGGTTGGAAATTGTAGTTGAAATCTTGATGTTGGAAAAATTGTTTGGAAGTTATGATCGAAAACTGTGGTGAAAAAGTATGGTCTATACACTAAAGCTTTGTTTGGTAGGGACAATGGAAAATTTGCTAATCTAATGTTTAGGTTTTATAAACACATTTGCTAATTTTGTAACCCAACCTTTCCTTCATTTTTTGGATATTATCTTATTGAAGTTGGGCTTGGCCTTCAAACAATGTAACTCTATTCAATAATATAATAATTGTTTACAAGGCTACACTATCAAATTGCCACTTTTATGATGAGATTTATAAGATGATTATATCATGTCTGCAGCATTGTAGAAGTTGTTCTAATTTGCAAATGGTTTTTTTTCTTAAACTCCACCTTCAGATCCGTATCACCCGAACATACCGGTTACCCTGCGAAGATGACTGAGTAGGTGTTAGATGTTCAGGATATTCCATGTATACGTTCTCCAGTAGTAGAAACAGAGCTTTAGTTTGGAATTGAAGCTCAGTGATCTTGTAGGTACATTCAAATCTATGAATGTTTTTACATCATAATATGTGCAGTTTAGTTGTCCCTTTTACCAGCACCTTTAAGTAGCCGTTTTACAGCTTAACTACAAACAACTTCTGTTTGCACATTAATTTTGAATTTTGTAGTTGGACTGTGGAAATTGAAGATACTACTAATCTTTCAGTGCAACGGAGGACAAGGTTTACTGATTTACAACTACAACTTATCTGGCCATCTATAGTGTTAGTAACTGCGTTAAGATTTAAATGATTTATGCTGTAGAAATTGCATAATTATAAAACCTTAAAATAGCACCAATTGTCTAAATATTGGAGAGTTTCCTAGGCTGGTTGAAGAAATTTTTATGTCTAACATGCTATGTCTAAGAGAAGTGGTATCCTTTAATCATGATGCTACTGAGGAAAGTTCATCTGTTTTTGTCCAATAGGCTTATTGCCTATTCCATCAAGGCAAGATTCCCTTCTGAGCCACCATCACATATAAGCTTTCAGCAACGGAGGAATAATAAAAGGTTGATGATATATGTTCTTGGTCAAAACATGATTTTCCTGTTTTCTACTTTTTTTTTTTTTCTGGAAGTATATCTTGTGGTATAAAGAGCATCTGTACCATTATTCTGTTGATGTAAAAGAAAAAATGAAGAGGTCAGGACATACATATGCATCAGTGTCTTAGATAAGTTAATTCTAGAAGTTGATTAAAAATAAAGAAATACGGAGCTTGGCGCTCGTGGTTCGGGATTATCTTTTACCAGAATGATTCCTTTTGGCTGACTTCCTATGGCAAAGCTTTGCCGCTATCTGTATAAACTCCTTTGCCTCTTTCTTTATCTATTGCATTGTGTATTCATATGGAGATGATTAGTGTATTACATACCATTGCCAATACAGTCTGGGCAATTAATGTTGTCTTGGTAGGGAATCAAATACCACTTGATAAGTTGAAGACATTTTTTTTTTGTACAAATTTCGTCAAATGAAAAAATCTGCTATTTATTATCATTTGGTAATCTACTTCGCTTTTCTCCTCTCTCATCTAACATTTTTGACTTTCATATGTAAGTACAGGTATTGTTGTTTCAATGGCATCCCTTTCTGTTGAGGGAGCTATGGAATGCATTTATAGTAGTTATCCATTATTTTGTTTATATCCTCCGAGCATGCTCTCTTATGGAATTTGTTTGCATAGTGTGTGAGAAACCAAAATAATGGATATATTTTTTATATATTATAATATATCGTACAATATATATCGCGCGTTTAGAACATGCTCTTTGTAAACTTAGTATTAATGGAATTTGTTTGCATAGTGTGAGGAACATATAAGAATTACTGAATATAGTGTTACGTATGAGTTTCAAATTTCTAAAGAAAATGCCACCACGTTGCTGGCTTTTGTCTCCGTCCTAGTGGCATGTTTGACAAGGAAATATCAAAGGGAATTCACACGTGAGGTGTAAAATGCTAGGGAGGTAAACGTCTCCACAACCGGCGTAACAATTGAAGCCTAAGCCCGGCCCAAGTGGATTATTTTGTTAGTAAAAAGTTATTTTACTGAATTTTAATTTTAAAATTTCTAAAATTATCATTAATAAATACTAATATAATGGTATTATTTTAATATTTGATAATAAAAATATTTGACATAATATTTAAAAAATTCTTATACTATTTAAAAAGTTTAAATATGTTTATATTTTTATTATGTTTAATCAAGTTCTTATATTATTATTTTCAGTTAAATAAATTATTATATTTTTATTTTGAGTTAAATTTTTATAATTAATTATTTACATAGTTAAAATATTATTGATCATTATATGTTGTGCAGAGTTGATATGACATATTAACATATCATAATTAGTGGTGATGTGGTATGTTAATGTATTATAATTGATGATAATGTGATATATTAACTTAACATGTTAACATAATCATGTGATATTTTTCATCCTCCATATCAATATGGTATGAATTTCATAAAATAACAAGTGATAGTTTGATTAATGATAATTAGTCAATCATTAGTTATAAGAACTTGTTTGATTAAAAATAAAAGTATAAGGGCTTGACTGCATGCAATAAAAGAATAAAGATTTATTTGAATTTTCTTGAGTGGTTTAAGGACTTATTTAAGTATTATACGAAAATATTTTAATGAATAGATGGTGTGAAGCTTGAATTTAGCTTTAAGACAATGTCTGTTAGACTCAATTTGTGGACATTATAAGGAGAGTTGCCATGCATTTTATCTTGGCATTAATACAACATGGTGTACTAAAGCACAAATTGAGAACGGAAACCCAACGTGGGTTTCTTTGTCTATCTTTCAATATATCTTTTCTTCTCAAGCCTTAGTATTTGAGTATGTCGTTAGTAAATTGAGTCTTATGATGAGTAATTGCTTTTGTCTAGGTGGGTATATCGTTTAGAACTTGAGTGGCTTCCAAAGATGTGGAAAAGTAGCATGCTTTTGCAAATATAGCCATTAGACCACGTATATCCATAGTTAGAAGCCGTGGCAGATGCAGTTAAGATTAGTAAAGGTAAAGACACCCATTAGTGGACATGTGGAGGATCAACCTCTTGAAGTTAAGATTAGACACCCAATTGGAGGTGTGACCTTAGAGGATATTGCAATAAGTCTGCATGGGGTTAGTCGGACCATGGAGGTTATAGCTCAAGAGTTATTAGAGTAAAGGCAATAGGGCGAGGTTTATGTTTATTTACATATATTATGTGATACTGATGTTAAACACCAAAAGTGGTGCCAATGACTTATGATGCTAATGGTTATGAGACTAAAGTGTTAATAAGTATAAGAAACATGCACAACTATTGACAATTGTGATAAATGTGGATATTGATGAATGAAAACATACATATATTGTGAAACCTTGATTTTTCATTAAGTGGAACTTAGTGAAATTAAGCTTTTATGAATTTTAATTTGATATTAAGTATTGAGTGAATTTTCCCCAATTAATTGATTATGAATCTTTATGAATTAGTGTTATACTTGTGGATGATCAATGGATGAAAAAATGAATGAGAAAGGAAACCAAAAGAAAGAAATTTTGCAAGTTAAGGCATGAATTGTCAATCCCATGGCAAGAAGGGTTGATACCTAAAGGCATATGATCTTAGGCTAGCTTATGGAAATGGCTAGGATGGACCCCCAAGGAAGGAAAGGTTGATCCCTACAAGCACAAGCTTTGGAAAACCTTTTGGAATTTCCTGAGTGTTGTTCAATTTTCTACCTACACAAGTATACATATCGCAAAGATAATATAGAAATTAGTAGAGTGTCGATTGCATAGAGAATTGAATTAGTCCTTACTATTAACTACTAAAATTAATACACCCTAATTTTATCTAAACAATTAAAATTAAAAAGAAAAATTTAAACTAATAAACTAATAATTAAAACTGATATATCAGCAAAATTACTTTTAGTGATTATCAGACCTAAAATTATGATATCCCTCAATACTTCATCTGAATATTGTCTCTCTCTCTTAACTCAATTTAATAGATTAAGTTGCTAACTTGGAGCCCTAAATTATTTACATGTCTCTGTCAAGTTTCTCATAAAAATACCTCTCCTAATTACTTTACTATATGTCTATACAAATTAAATTAAAGAAAAAATTCATTAAGTTTGTGCTCTAATTTTGGCTACGTATGGCTCATAGGTGTATGTCTACCTTATATGCAAATCAAACCACCTAATCAACTAAGTACATTTGATCATACACTATTCTATTCAAGGTCTATCTAAATCTCCTTCGTTAAGGTTTAACCTAGGTTTCCAATTCAATATAATTGATGGCTAGTCAACTCGAAGCATTAAAAATAGAATAAAATAAACAACCTAAATCCATCAAACATAAGTAAAATAGAGATAAATAATTCAGACTACATATTGAGTTTAATCATAATCATATATTAATGAATTAGTTCCCCATCAAGTCACACATTATCATCAAATAAAATTTTAATATTAAAAACAAAACCAAGAGAATAAGAGAATAACAAAAAGATAGAAAAAACCCAGGATTGTATTCTTGATCTCTAAATCTCCTTGAATCCTTCAAATTTTTCTCAACTTCAATGAATTTTTGGCTTGACTCTTAGTTGTTAATTTGGTGTTTTGTTCTTTTTCTCTCTTGTTTTAAAAGTCTTTTGAAAGGTTGTTATTATAAGCTTTGAAGTTAGGCCAAGTTAGGTGAAGAAAGAAGTCAATTTCAGCTAAGATTTCCTCATCAGACTATGTGGGCCGTAGCCTTACCCAACTAATTAACAGAAATCATAATTGTTCTAAGACTACTATAGTACATCAACTTTGACAAGATTTTTGACCACTTTTCAGGCCAAACTAGGTGAAATGGTAAACAGGAACGTTGTAGATTTTTCTCTTATCTTTGCCATGGTCTAAGAATCATCTCGTTTGGAGCTCTTTAGAGAAAGTTGTGGCCAAAATACCAAAATATGTGCAATGCAAGTTTACATCTTGAAATTGCTCTTCTTCTTCCATTAAAATTCTTTTTTCATCAAGCATCTACAAAAGCACAAATAAATCAATAATAACCTATCTTAACCACATTAACACCAAATAAAGCATAAAATTAACTAAGATTAGATTGTCTCATCTAAACTAACTCATTCAAAATAATTAATAAAACTTACTAATTTCTATGTATTACTGCAAGAACTACGCTAAATTACAATCAAATTTAAGCCTAAATAACTCTATATCATAGAGTTATCAGTAAGATACCCCCAATGGTTAAATGGTCTATCCCTACAAGATAAACACTCAGACAATTTTGGAAAAACAAGGATCGAACCCCAAAACACAAAAGGTCAATCTTTACATACTTTGGACTCAAAATTAGCTATTGGAATTTGGTAGGATTAACCCCTAAGCTTAAAAGGTTGATCATAGCATCCATAGGTAGAAAAAATTAAAGCCCCAAGGTTGACTTCTAAGGTTTAAAGGGTTGATCTAAGGGTTCTAGCATGGAAAAAAAAAATATAAAAGCCAGCTCGAGCCTTAGACTTCATTTTCACTCTTTCAACATCCAACTCATCCCTAATAGCCTCCAAACCCTCCATCAACTTCTCAAGACCCCATTTAGTAAAGATTTAGCCTTCCAAACTTGAATCTAAGATAATATTTGGCATTTTTGGGTTTGAAACTTATAGTTATGTTCTAACTCTAGGATTTTACAAATTTAAGCTCATTTAATCCACTTCTGAGCTAAGAATTTTGGGGGTTTTGCTCTCTAAGAAAGTTATGAAGGTAAGGATACTTAAGGTTGTTTACTGTATGGTTTAGGTTTGAAGTTTAGAAACTTATTGGAGATCAGATGAAGAATATTCAAAAATTCAACTGGTTTCAAAAATGGATTTTATTAGAAGCTAAAATACTTACTATGGGAATTATTGTGTTAAGTGATTGTTTGAGCTCAGGGTCATAGAGCAAGCATGATTTGATGACTTGAAATTTAGAGGAAATCATTTCTTGTTAAGGTGAATGGGTACACCTCTTTAAAGTATTTTATACGGTAAAACTAAGCATGATTTAACAACTTGATTGCCTTGCAAGATTTGAGTGCTATATTGACTTCAATAAATCAATTTGTATGAGTACAATTATTTTCAATGAAGTTTTCAAATCAACTATGTAAGTAAATACACCTACTACATATTAGTTTTCAACTTAGGAGACATGCCCTT